ATATGTAAAATATTCAAGAGTTGGTTCAACGAGAAATTGGATGGTTCAATGTTGAAAAATATTCAATGAGATGGTTGGACAGTGTCACGGAAGCGACCAACATGAATTTGACCCAAGTCCGGCAGGCAGCGGAAGACAGGAGGGCCTGGTGTGCTCTGGTCCATGGGGTCACAAAGAGTCGGACACAACTAAACGACTAAACAGCAACAACAAAAATATTCAAAGTGTGTTTTACCCTTGCTGAACACCTCTCCTCCAGTGAGTTTCCATAGCTGAGTGGGGATTTGAATTGAGTTCTCCAGAATCCCAGCCCATCACGCTTTCCGCTAGACCATTCCACTTTAATTATTGGTAAAATGCTAGATTTTAAATGATTATAAAGAAAGCTGACCGCCGAAGAATTGATGCTTTTGAATTGTGGTGCTGGAGGAGACTCTTGAGAGTCCCCTGGACTGCAAGGAGAACAAACCCATCCATTCTAAAGGAAATCAACCCTGAGCGCTCACTGGAAGGACAGATCCTGAAGCTGAGGCTCCAATACTTCGGCCATCTCATGAGAAGAGAAGACTCCCTGGAAAAGACCCTGATGTTGGGAAAGTGTGAAGGCAAGAGGAGAAGGGGACGACAGGATGAGATGGTTGGACAGGGTCACCAAAGCAACAAACGTGAATTTGACCAAGACAGGAGGGCCTGGCGTGCTCTGGTCCATGGGGTCACGAAGAGTCGGACATGACTAAACAACTAAACAACAACAACAAAATGCTAGAAGCACCCTGTTTAGTCCAGTCGAACTGTTCCTTGGCATAAAATGTCAGGATAATATTCTAATTAGAAGGTTAGAATAGGACTCAGAAAACCTGGGTTCAAATCCCCTTGGTTCATGGAGAAAGGCAAAACTCACTTTCTTAACTTGACCTATCCCAGAGACGAGTTGTGAAAGATAGAAATGGGATGGAGAGCTACGAGCGCCCTCTTGGAGCGGGTTGGAGGAAAAGTGGTATAAACTTGCAACAAATGAGTCATTGAATATCAGTGATTGTGGGAAGGAAAGAGAAAAAAAAGAAGAAGAAAATAAAATATTTTCATTACTAGATGGAAGTCCATTGAGTC